AAATCCCTAATCCCAAGGAGTTTTCGAGCGAGAGCTCGGCAGAGGCAGGAGAGTGCGGCCTGTTCCCCTCTGCGCGCTCCTCTCCTTCCTTAACCCTGCTTAGCTGGAGGCTCTCCCTTGGAACGCCAAGTCGTGGCTGATCTCTAACCGCCCCTAGACACCGGAGTGCAGGTCTGAGTGTATGTGCGAGGGCTATTGCGTGCACCTTGCCTGCGGACCCTGAGAATGTGCAGGCCAGAGCCGGCGCTGGGCCGGCACGGCCGCAATGCCAGGGTCTCCATGGGGCATTTCAGTTCCCGCCTTCCGGTGGCCCGGGGCTGCGGTTTCCAGGGTCCAAGGCTGGGGGTGGTCGCTGCCGAAGTCCCCACATCCCGGAGTGCTCCCGCCGCCCTTGTCGTTTTCGCCTATAGCATTTTTGGCGCTTGTGCTTTTCTCAAACACGCCCTCCCCTCACTCCCGCTCATTGTCCCGAGCCTTTGAAAGTTGGGAGAGTCCGAGATACTTCTGAGGACTGATAATGAAGTCCCACTTGAGTGGGTTGCAATTCCTCCCCTCCCTCTCAAGAAGTGGGTTGTGTTTTTATTTTGTCCGTTTGTTTTGGTTTTGGGCGCTGCCATTTTAAAAATTAAAGTGAACGTGAACAAGAAGAAAAAAGGAGAAATGTTTGGAACTAAGGCGGAGGGAGGAGAGAAGGAATCTCAGCTGCCACCCGAATCAGAGCCGACCCTGGCGGAGGACTGGAGTTTCCAGTTAACCTCGGGCCTACCTGGACCTCGCTGTTCGAATCTCTGGGAAAGGAGGCGAGCTCGCATATTTTTTGTGGCCCATGTTGTGGCGTGTGTGCGTCCTTCCCAGGAGGCGCAGAAGGAAAGCCTTCCCGGTGCATTCTGAGCCTCCACCGCAAAAACTGAAGCCGGCAGGCCTCGGCAGGCCTCGGTGCTTGCTTGCCCTGTGACAGGTCCTCGCCTCCTTCCCTGGAAGTAAGGAGCCTCAGACCCCTCGCCCACTTGGGGTGTGCAGTCGTCGGGGTTGAGGAGCCTTGAAAAGTGAGGCCTCGGAGGTGAGGGAAGGGGCGGGCACTAACTGGGTTCGCTGGGAACCGCGCCCGCGTGCTGTAGATGGACTAGGACGCAGGCGGACCGTTCGGACTTTTAGGAAAAAAGGCAGAATGACACTGGGGAAACTTTGGAGCTTTCCAGCTTCCCAAGAGCCTGAGTTGGGCCTCCTAAGCCTCGAGCCCGATGCAGGTCCGGACGCCTCCGCAGGGGTTTCTCAGGCCCGCAGAACAGCTGACCCCGCCCGCGGCGCCGCGCCATCCAGGCCTTCTCCAGACCGGTGGCGGCAGCGGGACCCAGGCCTGCGGCCCTCGGGCCCCGAGCAGCGAGGGGGTCGGCGCGCAGCGGGCGAGGTCAGGGCCGAGACCGGCCGCGAGGTCTGCAACTCCCGCCTTGCTCGGATTCGCACAGCTGGAGAGCAGAGCGATGTCACCCGGGAGACCCGCCTGGGTGGTAACAAGACCCCGGCCAGTCACCCCTGCAGCCCAGACTAACTTCTTTCAACAGCCTCTGATGGTAATTACAGTAATCGAAGCTGCCATATATCTTTAGGCAATTATGACACACAAAAAGCCCCGAGGGGACCCCCTGGCGAGGGAAGTTAAGAACGGTTTTCCAGCTTCAGGAAACTCCCGCCTGCCTCACGTCGGAGCTCGCTCGACTTGCTAAATGAGGGGAGCTTTGCAACGGGGTCAACCAGCTTGTCTCATGACCCAAGTCACCTTAACGTGGCTGGGTGGCGGAGTCTGAGGCGCACACCCGCTCTGCCCCGGAATTTTCGCGTCCTCCCCTCTGTGCCCCGCCCCAGGTGGGTACGCCAGTCTCTAATCTGCCCCGGGAGCCTCGGCCCGGAGGTTTGCGCTGGGGCAGGGCCGCCCTGCCGCCCTGCCGCCCTGGCGGCCCCGGGGGCCGTTGGTCTAGGAGCCCCGCCCCTGGAGCCCGAGTAGCGTCGCCCGCCCCTAACCGGTCCTCCCTCCACCCCGTCGGGGTTCTCCAGAGATGCATGTCCCTGGCCTCCCGTCTGGATGGGGGGCGGGAAAGAGAACCCCCACCACTGCTCTTCCCACTAGCTCATCTTGGCATCATCAAAACTGCCACCGGGAAGAGGAGGACAGCTGGGACGACAGGATGGCTGGACCCCAAACACGGACCCCAGCTCAGCCAGAGCGTTATGCAGGGGAGAATGGTTGCAAAATATGGAAACCAAGTTTACTGCTTTCCAGAGTGAGGGCGGCTGCTGCGCGGCCATTGAGTTCCCTTGGGCGCAGCGACATGTCCGAGGGGGTGAGGGACAAAACCCGATGTCGCCTCCCCTGGCTTTCTACAACCCCCTCCTTCCCCAGCACAACCTCTCCTCCCACCCTGCGGGAGAGGGGGCGCCGAGGCGGTGGTCGCCGCGCCGCGCGCCTCCCCCGCCGGCCTTTGTCGCCATCCGAATTCCCATGCTACTTTTTTTGACGGGTCACTGGTGGCTCTATAGGCAGGTGCTACGGCGGGGTTGTAATTGCCCGGGCCGAGCCTGTTGGTTACCAAACCCCCCTCCCCAACCCTGCCGCCCGCGTCCTCCCCGCCCCCACCCCCTGCAGCTCCTCGACGGCCGCGGTCGGGGGTGCGCGCCCGCCGGATGCCTCGGAATCCACCGGCGAGTTTCCACCCTGAGGCCTCGGGCCCTTCCTGCGCGGCGCCCTCGCCTCCCCTACTCCCCTGGACCAGTCGTCCTCACCCTTGCCTCCCATCACCCCAGCCTAATCGTGGTCCCTAACCTGAGCGCTCCGGAAACAGGTGCCAGCTTCACAGAGGCCAAGCCGGAGGCCGCCCGGGCCCAGGCTGGAGGCCTTCGGGCCGGTAGCAAAGGGAACATTAAATGTAAAGAAGTTAATTATTAACTAGTATTGTTAAATATCATCATCATCATTATCAAAGTATTAATTAAGTTAACCCTTTATTTAATACTCCCGTTTTTTGAACGAGGAAGGATTTCAAAGTTCTTATGAACCACTTCAGTCTTGTTGGACCCTTGAACCTTATAGGAAAATAGTTCCCTCCCTTATAACTTTGCGAATTTTACCCTCTCCCTAACATTCCTCTAGGGTCCGCGGCCATCCCAGGCTAGAGGGGATTCCAAGGCGATTTCTCTTAAGTCAGGCGACTGTCGAGGCCACGGGGGGTGGGGGCAGTTTAGGGAAACCAGTCAGATCTTTCAAAGAATCAGCCTCAGACAGCGGTGGAAAAACAGAAAGCAAGGGACCCCCGCAGGATCTAGTGTGAGAAGGTAGGGCTTTAAGGAGGAAGTCGTTGGGGAGTCGGGGCGGAGGGGTGCCGTCCCACCCTAACCTGCCGGGAGTCGACATACTTACAACACTCTCCTATTTGCCTACCTCGGTGCTGGTTACTTCGGGGAGAAAAAAAATTTTTTTTCCTAAAAGAAATTATTTCTCAAAAGCGATCCATCAAGCATTATTTTAAATAGGTAAAGTGAAAGTTGGGCAATTACCACTACCCTTATTATCATTAATAATCCTAGTATTAGCATTACAATAATAATCCTAATAATAACAACCGCCCAGCAGCTCAGAGAAAACTCGATTGCCTTCCAGCTGCCATCCCTGGTTCCAGCCGTGTTTGTTTTTCTTCTTTTCCCTTTTACATTTCAAGTTTGTCTCCTCGCGCGCTCACTAACAACTTTCTCTGTTAAATGCAAGAGCAGGAGAGGGAGGCGGCCAAACTTTCCGCGGAGCAGAAAGGCAGCGGCGGCCGTGCTGCCGCCCTGGCCTGCTGTAATCTTTTATTCCAAAATGGGTTTCGGCGATTAGAGGAGACCCAAATACATGTAGCGGTGCATGAATAATGCTCATTGTAGGAAACTGACACTTGCTCAAGGAAAAAAAGTTTGGCTATAAAATCACTTCATTATTTGCTTTTACCGCAGCTTCGGTGCTAATCCCTTCAGAGGTCAGATTGCTTAGCATCTCTCTCTCCCTCTCCCCTTTCCTCCTTCTCCGCCCCCCTCTCTCTCTCACCCCATCCCCCCTTCCCTGTCTTTCCTGCGATTTCAGGCCGTATTTTAGATATCCCCTGTAAAGTGTGTGGCGACCGCAGTTCGGGGAAACACTATGGGGTCTACGCCTGCGACGGCTGCTCGGGGTTTTTCAAACGAAGTATCCGAAGGAATAGGACGTATGTCTGCAAATCTGGAAACCAGGTACCTTAGCAGGGCTGCGCTGCCCCGCTCCCCTCTGCCGCCTCCCCTTCCTTTGTTTGTGCCAAGGCCTCCTCTGAGTTTCCAAGCCTCTGAGGAGAGACTAGGCCCTGACCTCTCCTTTCCTCTCCCCTCCTTCCTGCCTCAACTCTCAGTGGCCCTTTTGCTTGGGAAAGGCAGAAAGAGGCAAGGGAAGAGAGCTGAGTTTGAAGGAGGAAAGCTGAAGTCCCACCGTCTCCTTACACCCCCTATCAATCCCCCCCCTTTTTTTAATCCTCTGACAGATTTTGACACTGGGTAAGGCCCACACCCAGTGACTATAAAGCCAGCCCAGAGGATCTAAGGAACTTTAGAATCTAAACCACAAGTGCAGGCAGGTAAAAGGGCTATTTTATGTCACTGCCACCCCAGTCCCATTCCTAGCAGCACCTAAGTTCAGTGCTCTGACCCAGGTCTCTCCGGGCAGAAGTGAAAGGCACAGGGCATTTCAGTCAGCGAAGTGAGTGTTGACTATAGTTGGAACAGAGAGGATGTGCTGTATGAGGGGCTGTGCCTTCAACTTCAGAGAAGCAGGGCTGCTTGGTAGTGGGCAGTGGGGCTTCAGCACCCATGTGACTTTAGTTGGGCCTTGTCAGAAAAGGGCAGAGTGAGCAAGAAGAGAAGGTGCCCAAGGAAGGAAACTGGGAGCCTCTCCATGGTCCCCAAATCTTCACTTTCTCTGCTTCTCTGGTTGATTCTGTTTTGATCTTGAGCAGGCAGAACTGTCTCAGAGAGACAGAAGAGTAGGGGCATGGGTTGAGTGTGAGCCAGAGCTTCCAGAAAGGGTGAGCAGACCCCTCCTCCTGACTCAGTTTCCAGCTCAGTAGTAGGTTTATTTCAACCTAGGAGATCAGCCTTTTGGTCCCACACTTGGCCTTCTCCTTAGCCAGGCACACAGGCCCTAAATACAGAGTGACAGTCTCCACTCCCAAGAAGATCCTGGAGAGTGCAGTAATCAGAAAACATCCTGTGGTAACCAAAATATTAAAACGTTTTCACTAATTAATATATATGATACACATATATACATACACATATATTGTCTGGTGCTAGTGAATTGTTTATCTTTTTCTGAACCTATGTCTGCTCATACCAATTTCTGATAGATTTGGATTATCAACAAAAACAAGAACAAGAAGATGCTGCATTTGGATAAGTTATTTTGAACTCTCCAGCCCTGTTACCTGTTTAATTGGGTCCATAGCTCTGTATCAGTTTGTCGCTTCACCATGTGGACACATCACATTATATACACACAGGACTGTATCCCAGTAGCTCCACAAGAATATGAGATTACTGTGGGTAATCAGACTTGAGCAGGCCCCTACTTAAGTTATCTTTTACTTTTATGCAATGCACAGAATCGGGGAATCAAAACCTCAGATGATATGCTTGATATTTTCAAAGGGATTGGCTATCAATTCAAACATATTGATGTCAGTCCAAGTGCTTGTAAAGGAGTGTTGATAGACTCATCAGGCATGGCGGTCCTCTTCTTACGCAGAGAATAAATGGACCTAGCTGAAGTGAGCATCTTTTTCTCAGGCTCCAGATATTTATATACATTTGATCTGATTTGAAGACACTTTTAGGAACTAATGAAGACTTCTGTTATGCATTAGTATGTTTATCAGAATACTAGGAGGATAACATTTGAGGATAGGCATATGATTGCATTTAATAATAAGTTATTTAAACCTTTTTACATTGAGCTATTACACTGGCCAGCAAAGATGACCTGAAGAATTCAGTTAGGAAAAAAATTTATTTCCTTTCTCTCTTTTATTCTAAGCTTAGGTAAACAGCATTCTAGTTTATTATTAATAGTAACGAGGATGTTTAGAAATTATTATGAACTTCTGCTCTACCTTTATTTTAAATAAATCAACGTATTTTAAATCAGAGGGGTGTGATCTCATAAAACTGTGTGTTTGAGTGTATAATTTTTTCCTAAGGGATATTTCAGAAAATATGCTTACTCCAAATTCAGAGTATATGAATTTTGAGATTATGAAACAAAATAAAAATACATTTATTTTATTCTCTTTCTTCCCACTGTAAATGTAAAAGTAGCAAGTAGTATAAACAGAGCACCAAACTTCTTATGTATTTACTGTGTATAAAATACACATGTAGACATGACTCTTTATGAATCTATGTATATGTTCTCTCAGTAATAGCACCTAACACTGAGTGAATTCCATTAGAAATTTTCTCTGTTTTCCTCTTTTAATGGCCAATATTTTTCCAGAAAATTGCATTGGATAAAACATTTATTTTCTCATGCATCTCAAGTAAGTATTTCTAAAGCACAATTACCTCTTTTTTTTTTTTCAGTTATCGTGCTAATATTCTCAATCTATGTTATCATTTTGTCAGACAGTTCATCACATTATCTTCCTGGTCATATTTACATGGTGGGCATTTATAGAATTTGTCCAGGCCTTGGGCTCTTCCCTTCCCACTGTCACATCTGTAAGCCTTGCCCTCCTAATCACTCTGGCTTCTGCCTCACCTTCCAGAAATGGCTGTGTTTCTATGAATCTGGGCTAAGGCTAGTCTTTAAGACAACTCTCAACATGCTGGTCAGAAGCATGGCTTGGAGTACAAAGGCAAGAGAGGAAACAGCATGGCTTGGAGAATAATGGGAAATATTTATCTGACAGATAAATGGGCTCACCCAGAAAGTGACAGAAAGAGGTAGACTCAAGACCTGAAAGTGGAAAGAATAGTTGGTGGGAGGGGGACGTGGCAGGGGCCCTGGCAGGCAAGCCTGCTCCTTGCAGAGCTCTAAGGCCTCCTCCTCCAGGGCAGGTCGCTGTCTTCGGTCCTGAAAAGTCTCGCCTCGCTCCAACCCCTCTGCGCCTGGCGGAAGTTCCCCTAGGGAGCTCCTCCCCACGCAGCGTAGTCTGGGCAAACCAGGAGCTCTGACCCTTCACCTGATTTGAGAAGGACTTTCCTTCTTGTCCGCTTTCATAGTGTCAGGGGCTGGTCCTTTTGAAGTAGCCCCAGGAATCCAGCCCTTTCTCTTCCTGGCCCTGCTGGTGCCCAAGGCCCTCGCGTTTCGCGGACCCAGGCTTGCAGCTCCGGGGTCTGTTGCGGGGTCCGTACCCGCCTCAACGCCTTTTCCCCGACCCGGCGCCGGCTTCGCGTCCCCAGTCTAAAGGTCCTGGGGGCCGCTGACCGCCTGCGCTCTGTTCCAGGGAGGCTGCCCGGTGGACAAGACACACAGAAACCAGTGCAGGGCGTGTCGGCTGAAGAAGTGTTTGGAAGTCAACATGAACAAAGATGGTAAATCTATTTATTCTTAGTACATCTTTCTATCCTTATGTTGGTTGAATAGTAAGTAAATTATGTGTACAGAAAATAATGGCACTCCTATGCATGTAAATCATCTCCTGAGCATTTCTTTCCAGGTGCTGGGAATTGGCCTCCGGCTTTAGTCTCCCTGCATAAGCCCCACCCTCACCCCACTGAACTCCCCAGGGCAAGACCCATGCCCACGTGGGACACTTGCGCCTCACAAGCATCCCCACGAAGCCAGCGTTCCTGGGGCCCCTGCTCTGCTGGCGACCCGCATGTGACATTCCCGGCCTCCCATGCTGATTCCTCTTCTCACCTCTCCTCGCAGCCCTTTTGTGGACAGACTTAAGCCTGTTAGCCTCCCGCAGGGTCTTGCTGTCTAGATACTCTCCTGGAGAGGATATCTTGGGGACTAGGAGACCGGTTGAAGGAGGAAGGACAGAGACACGAACACGCGGAATGTCCACCCCTTGTTTGTAGACTCACCAAGATTACAAAATCAGGACAGCCGTTGTGGCGATCTGAGCTTTTTCAGGGCCTTCTCTTAGTTCTAAAGAAAGGGGCTGGAGGGGCAGAGTGACGCCAGTGGGTGCCTCGGACACCCAGCTCCCAGAAGGCTCTTAAAGGCGCGCAGCAAGAACTAGGTCGTCAGGATGCTTCTTGGGCTTAGAGTGCAATCCAAGCTCGTGGCCGGAGGTGGCCTGGCGAGGGCGCCCCAGGCCGGGACGTGGCAGGGGTCTTGGCTGGGAGGGAGGGATGGGGCCTCAGGACTGGGTGCGGAGTGGGCTTTGCCCGGACGGAGGCCTGGGCAGGGTGGCATCTCCACGAGGTACAGCGCCCATTGGGGAGAGTTCCTTCCTCCGCGGCGCAGGAAGCAGGAGGGAGCGTCCAACCTGTTGAACTTGTGTATTGACAAGTTGTCAAGCTCGTCGAGCGGAAGATTGCCCTGAATTAATTTGTTTGTTTAAACTGTTGGTGGTAATTGTCACATCTCCCCTGCCTTCCTCCAGCACACTCTGAGAGGGCTTTCCCTCGTCCCATTCCCCAGCGGACCCGGGCTCGGGTCCTTTTCTCCTGGGGTCCTCGGAGGCCAAATGGCATCTCCAAGTGGGGCGGAGGATGGAGGTGGTGGGGGGGAGTGGTCGTCGAGCGGATTGGGAAAAGTGTGTGCAGAGACGCTGTGCCTGGCTGTGCGCAATGCTCCCTCTACCCTTGGTTGCGGTGGAGACCCAGCTACTCCTGCCCAGAGGGTCACTGGTTTCCCTGCTACCTTCCCTGGGTGCAGAGGAGCCCTCAACCGACAGAGAACACACCTAGTCTTGCCTGAGGCTCGGGTATTAGTGTGACACTTTGGGCCGGGCTGCTCTTCTCGGCTTCAGCTTTCTTATGCAAACAGTGTAAGGGTTAAACGGTCTCAGAGCGCCCTCCACCCTCACATTCCTTCTCCCTCCTTCTCTTCACCTCCCGGGTGCCCTTGCCTGTCCAGACGCAGCTTTTGGCCCGAGAGCGCGGCAGCGTCTAAGTGTCACCGAGTCTCTGATCTCGGGCGTGCGCCGATCTGTCTGTCTCTGTAGCCGTGCAGCATGAGCGGGGGCCTCGGACGTCCACCATCCGCAAGCAGGTGGCCCTATACTTCCGTGGACACAAGGAAGAGAACGGGGCGGCCGCGCACTTCCCCTCCGCAGCACTACCCGCGCCGGCATTCTTCACCGCGGTTACGCAGCTGGAGCCCCACGGCCTGGAACTGGCCGCCGTGTCCGCCACCCCTGAGCGGCAGACCCTCGTGAGCCTGGCTCAGCCCACGCCCAAGGTCAGTGACCTTTCTGGGCCCGAGACCTTTCCGAGTGGAGGGCGGAGAGGGGCGCGCCCATTCTTTCTCAGCTGGCATGGCTCAGGCAAAAGATGGAGAGAGAGAGACCTCACGGGGTGCTCGGTGCTTCGCCGAGCTCTGCAGGGAGCTCTAGACCTCCCTCTCTCCCCTGTTGAGCTAGGGGTGCTCAAATTTTAGTGTGCAGTGAAGTCACTCTCTAAGCTGACTACAAACGTGGCCGCCTAGGCCCATCCCCCTTTCAGCAAATTTGAGGTGGTGCCCAGGAACCTGTATCTTTAGAAAACACCTAGTGTAAAGCCCTGGCTGAACTAAGAGGGCAGCCTAGGTGTTCCTGGAGGACAGAAGAGCAGAGTTTGTTTTTAGAAGAAAGAAGTTGCCTGCAGCTGGCAGAAGAGCCCCTGAATTGCAACTGCAGGGATCTAATCTCTTGGGCAAAGCCATGGGTCCCTAATGCAAGAGAGAAATGTGGAGCTCACCTTGTTAGGACAGTTTGAAGGAGTTGGCTTCATTTCCCACTCCCCGTACTCTCTTCTGAGCCGCATGAATTTACACAAGAATTGAGCCTCTACTAGCAGGGACACAGCCAGAACCACCTCAAAAGGCTGCCACCTAGGGACTACCTTCCAGGCTTCCAGTTGGTACCCACCCAAAGCCCCCACTCCAGGCCGAGAAGGGCTCCAGATCTCTCTCCCCAAGAGGAGGGCCAGCTGCAGCCCCACACTGCAGGGAAGCCAAACACCTCGGCACACGCACACACACAATATTTAATATTGCTTTCTTATCCTTGATGTGTATAATAAGCTTGGGAAAGTAGTGTTATGAATATGTCGCCAGTTATGAATGGGAATGCTCTATGAATGATTAAGATGTCTAATTGAAATATTTCCATAATATACTAATCCTTTCTAAAAATACTCATATGCATATTTGTGTTTGGGATGCCTATTAATTTATACTTTCTCCACATCTATTTTTATTGACTCAAATGCAAGAAGCTCTTGTCTAAATTGGGAGACAGGCTTGGCACTTGGCTCAGCCTGAGGAAAATTTGCTGCAGGGGATAGAAAAGCCAGATGCCCCTCTTGAAGGAACAGGCCGCCAAAGAGTGGAAATAAGCCTCTCCCATCAATTATTATTCCCCAAACTCTATAGATATTCCTATCTCCTTCACTGGTCTAATTAGAAAATTTAAAATTTGGCTCTTCTTGCAAAGCTGCAGTTTCCTTACTCCTTGTTGTTTCTCTTTCTTCCCCACCCAGTACCCCCATGAAGTGAATGGGACCCCAATGTATCTCTATGAAGTGGCCACAGAGTCAGTGTGTGAATCAGCTGCCAGGCTTTTATTTATGAGCATCAAGTGGGCTAAGAGTGTTCCAGCTTTCTCCACGCTATGTTTGCAAGACCAGGTATGACCAAGAGGGCACTGAGCTCTTGGGGGAATGGGGTTGGGAAAGAAGCAACAGTAGTCAGTCTTATGAAACTAGAAGTTACCTGGATAAATCACCAAGGCCAGGCATCCATTCTTAACAGCATTAGGAAATGATTTTTCTTAGCTTCTTGCTATGGGTTCAAAATAGCTAGCTGTGGAATCCTTACTAAGAAATGTAATTATGTTATTTCAGGAAAGTTGGATATGATCTAAAAAAAACAAATATACAAGACCATTGTCTTTTGTTTCATTATCTTTTTTTAGTTTAATTGAAACATCAAATTTCATCACAAATTTTAAAAATCTTAATGATTTTTAAAATTGTTAACAAAACAATATTTTCTTAAGAACACTGGAACTGAGAGACAGAATGTGATGAGAGTATTCCCTTGTAAGATTTTGGGAACTAGTCTCATTATTTTATATTTGCAGCTTTATATTTTCCATTGTGATGCTCATAGTTTTGGCCACTGATTGATCAGCATGAAGGATTAAAGAGTGCATTGCACACCTCCCTTGATTCTTTAAGTGCTTTTAGAGTTTTCGTAAACAAATAGGTCTGGTGCATAATCCTGTGGTTGTAATTGACATTAAGAGGGAGAAAACAAAGTATGTGCCTTTAAAATTGCATCGTACGGAAACTCAGAAGTTTTGTTGTTAGGAATATCAGAAATGGCCTCTGCCAGAATTTTTCTGCCCTTAAGGGAAAGAAATAAAATGAAGTATTCACAAAAATTGGCCGTCACCAGCACATTCATGGAAATTAATGACAAATTTCCCAAAAGGCTAATAAGTAGCTCCAAAAGCAAAGGATTTGTTTCTTTAATTCATTTTATACCTAATCAAAGCATAATAGTGCCCTTAATATGAAGTACATTTCCTACAGAGAGCCCTGGCAATGTGCTCAAAACATTTAATCTTCTAGCATGGGATGTTCTTTTTTTCATGGCCTGGACTTTCAGACATGGTCAGAATTAGACATTGTTTACCTTGCATTTTTAAAGTATTATTTTCTGTATTTAATGCAATAAAACTGAAAATAAAGCACTTTGAAAATTAAACCTTTTGGTCTAATTGTGATTTTGGTTACAAGCCTTCACAATTCAGCCCTTAGCTCTCAGAAGGAAATCCTCTCACATCCAGAACTGACTGGTTTTTGAGAGATTTTTCAAAAACAAATTTTTCAAGATGGTTAGTTTCTATCTTTGACCAGCTTTACTGGTTGACTCTGACCATTTGCTGTGTGTGTGTGTGTGTGTGTGTGTGTAAGTTGGCTATTTTTTCTCAAAACAAGTATTTGTAGACTCTTTAATCCAAACAAAATTTACTTACTGTCTGCCACTTAGCCCTTCGGCGGAAACCCTTTAACAACAAGCAAACTGCAGTGAAGTGGAATCCAGTATATTAATTTCGAAAAGGAGCCAGATTTTCATTTTAAATATTCAGTAGCACATTTTAATAGCATGAAAATGACAAGCACCTTGATGCTGTCCACTTATGAGTCTCAGAAAAATCAGGCAGTGAGATGAGGTAAACTCAGCAAAACCTGATTAACATAATTACACCCTGATTTCCCTGCATGCCTCTTGGGAATTAGTGATCACTCTCCCAGCCCAGCCCGCTCAACCCTCCAGGAAGATGGGGGCCCACATCTGCATGCTTAGTCTGGAATCCTCAACCCTGATAATATCAACATTTTCTATGAGGGGAATCTACCTGCTGTGCTGCTGGTGACATTTCATAGAGCCTGGGTCTCCTGAGAAGTTTCTAGGTGGTCAGGAACAAGTGGATGCAAGAACAAGAAGGGTAAACTCTTT